AAATTACTCAAAGTAGCCATTTTTCGCTTTCTGATTTGCGCTTTTATTCTCACTCGACTGTACACACGCTCAACACCTCGTTCAACTCGAAGTTTGGCGTCCAGTGTGAAATGAAACAAAAAACAAATGTTACCATAATGCGATGCATTATTAAAAGATAAAAGAGCTAAAAATTAATGTGTTCGATGTCACTGCATAAATCTTTTCATGAATATATACTGCAACGGCAAGATAAGTCGATGGCGTATACAATTTAATCGTTTAAGGACGCGCCTCACACAATTATTGTATTAATATTGCACACGATAACGATTTTCGTGCGGTCTCTCTCTCTCTCTCTCTCTCCTGTACAAAATTTTGCGGGCCACATTTTGGTCGCACGAGATCGGTCCAATGTGTATTTCAAGCCCTCGTTTGCATTATCGACGACGAAGCGACTCGCGATTGCTTCTTCTTACTTTTTGCGAATCTAATTAAACGCACCCGGGGATCGGCGATATCGTATCGAAATTAATCTAAAGAGTTTCGAGATCGAATAAAATCATTTCGATAATGACGCAGACGGGGGTAAATTTTTCTCCTTAAAATATAAAATATACCAGCCAATTTCGAAGGAATAAAATAATAATAGCCGAAAATTCGAGTCGCGTACCACCACCACCGCCACCCAACCGAATTATCTCTCGCTTTCGCGAGCTTTTGTCAATTAATTGTCTCTCTCTCGAGGAGATCCCCCGCGAAAAGATGTCCCCCTTCCCCCACTGGGTTATTATAATATCACCGATATAATCCGCGAAATCGACGAATCTCGCGAGCTGCCTTCTATAAATACGTTATCACACGCTGTACTCGTTGGCGTCGCGAAGCGTGTGCCGAGGAGCGCCCCAAGTATATAGAGTGAGCTTGAAATACTCATTTGACGTCTATATAGGTGTACAAAGATGTGCCATATGCGCGCGAATTGTATAATAATTCGGCTGCGCCGCGGAGAGGAGATGATTCGAGAGACCCGCAATAATGATACAATAATAATGATGATAATAATAATGGTAATAATAATAATAATGATGATGATCAACGAGTTTATTGTAACGTACGGATTGGTTATTGGTATACGTATAGTAGCTTCAAGATGTTTTTCATGCATACATATTTATTGAAAAAAAAAAGATAAAGAAAAATGAGGAAAAAAAAACTTGAGAGAAATGTAAGCAAAAAGAGGGGGGATGAGAGATGCGGCAATTTACCGATATGCGTATAATATAGCTTTCTGATTATATCGATCAAAAATGTGTGTATGTTCATAAAACCACGCGTCGATCGAGAAACATCATACCTCGTTTAGGACTGATATATTTCTTAATTTATAATGATGATGATATCGGCTCTGAGACCGTTGACCAAAAATATATTAAAAAATACGAGATTGATTCTCAATAAAACGCCACCGGGCATTGTGTTTACATCGTAATATGTATTGTAATAATTGCAGTAGTTGCATGGCTGAAACGACAGACAAAAAAAATAATTAATCAATAATTTTAACGACAAAATCCAGTTTGTATTTAGCGCCAATTACTTGAAATCGTGTACGACAAGATTCTCGTTTTCTCGCGAGGTCTTTTATTTGTCTTTGTATAATATATATCCAGCTGCCCGGCGCACCATCGCCGCCGGTGAAAATACATACATATAACGTAGATTCACATTCTCGCGCGACGAGAATCTTGTTAAACACCATCCACGCATCCCCTCGTATTGCGACTGTGTTTATAAATCGTCCTTACTTCGCATCTCTAATCGATATAAAAAAAAAAAAAAAAAACAAAATCAAACAAAAGGTAGCAAATACGTAAAATAGTTGCGTTGCCTGCCGAATCGTGTCTACCCTAAGGGTCGTAATATATAAATGTACCAAAAACAAAAAAGACATCTGGCTTATGTATTTCCAGTGAGAATGCAATCCTCGCCCACAACCCCTTTTTTTACAATTTGCGAACCCCTTTTGAACTATTCTTATATTTATATTACGATATATTTATATTATATCAAGCATTATATACATAGCATGAATCACGTAAAACCAGTATTTATATATTGATACGAAACCTCTCGAGTATACATATCTGCTGTATTTGATGGTGTACCAACCCCCGCTCGACCCCCCCTACTACTATTACTACTACTCTCCACACCCCCCTTTTGAAAAAATATTTTGTGGCAAATATGTTGTTGTATCGCCCGTCGCAATAGCCTCCAGTACACGTATTTATTACATACTTTATATATGAAATTCGAAGGAATTTGCTTCTTGTTGAAAAAAAAAAGTAACGAAGGGAGGCTGTTCGGATGGCGTCGGATATGCTCTCTGTTTCCTCTCTCTCTTTCTGTCTATTATTTAAAAGTAAATACAACCATGTAATGAACCTTAGCTAATAAGTATTTATTATTATTATATTTATACTACAACCATTATTTATTTAATCCATTTGTTAACACATATTTGATACATGATGATGAACTTGATATATACTAACCAACATTACTCGTCTTTCAGTGACCACATATTGACTCTCTCTCTCTTGGATGTCAAACACATAAAAAACTCATGGCGTTCCGTAATAACGTAAACATTCAAAATCACTTTGAATATGGCAAGGTATAAATCACAAAAGGCTCTGTGAAGACAATATATTATAATGTAAATCGCGAGAGTCGCGCGCGTGTTCACCGAATGTAGTTTGTATATACTCAGCCGCGAGTACCTACTCTTTTTATTAAAGCGAAATACGAAAGCTCCTAACTTGGAGGTGGTCGTCACGAATGATCGACGCGGATTTCATTGCGCGAAACGATCCTGAAAAAGAAAATAAAAAGGAAAAACTTCTCTATTCCAAAATCGTCGCGCACCTATCATAATGATAAATAAAATATAATAAACGTCCGTTCGCATTATACGCGGAAAGCTTAGCACGCGCCCAAGTGACAGTATGGTCGGTTTAGGTATATCTATCTCTCTGGGGAGGGGTCCGCGTGTCTATGCAGCGCACACATTGTGTATATCATCGAGAAATCGGCGCTCGAAATATATACAACAAAGTGACACTTTGACGCTCCGACGATGGACCAAAGGCTATTTTGAATTTCTCTCGTGTGCCGTGTCGAGAGTCCCTTCCTTCTCTGTATATGTATGTATAACTGCGGACAGGCCGAGTGCAGTGTATGTATTACGCTGGTGGTAGTGTACTATGAACGAAGGACGGATATGGATGCGTTGTCGCGAGCCGTGATGCATCCTCTGCACCGAAGTGTATATATGTATGTACTAAAAATGACGTTCGCGACAGTCAAACGAATCGTGTGCACCAACACGCGCGCGCGCGTGTGTGTGTGTAATCGGCGCGCCTGTCTCACTCCGAAAAGCTCCGAGCTCTGGAAGTTTGATTTTATTGAAATAGTGTACACATCGTATGGCCGCGGCGCACAAATTCGATGAAAACGGTTTATATGTATACGTTTCGCGAGAGGATCGAGGGTTGCTGACCTCTTAGCCTCTCGCGCGCAAGTCCTAATAAACAACTTCGAAACGGAAGTTTGCAATAAATTTTCATTTCCTCCTTCCCGGGTTATATATTTTGTGTAAATCGGCGTTAATTGAAAACAAGTAAAAACGCGGCCCGGGCCTCGATTATATTGCACGCGCATCGCCCATCCACGTTAAGCCACAGGATGTTATGTGCCCACCACCACTACGACCCGTTGAAGAAGATAACGAACGGAAAGTAAAAAAAAAAGGGAAAAAACTTGTCCAAAAACTCATTGGACGCGTAATACTTTTCTCTCTCTTTGCCCGATATACACGCGAAATCGGATTTCGATGTATCGGAACTTCTTTCTATTTTTTTTATTCTTTACCGTTAATCAGCGTACGTTATCGGGCCGGCCGAACTATCGCGCGACAGGATATGCAATTAAATATTTCCTCGATTGTAGAAAAAAATTTTTTCCCCACTCTAACCTAAAATACGCAACTTTGCCGCTAATTTTAGGCTCTCGTGGGAAAAAATAGTATCTCAAACTGGTGCAGATATGGTTTTTTAACAAAACTCGTTACAGCACTCGCCTTCGGCTCGTGCTATAATCCCTCGTTTTGCTAAAAAACCATATGTGCACCCGTTGAGAAATATACTATTTTTCACGCTCGCCGCTCTTCGCAAAGCCTTTTTTGCCATTTGTATCATGTATATAGTGAAACCAAATGCATCACGAATGTTTGCGTATACGTAACTACGCCTATCTCGTATTATGTATACGATAAAAGCAGCACAAAAACACATTCAAATGCACATTGAACTCGATAATTGAAACTATAACAGAAACTCTTGATATAAATACACGAAATAATACATACACACGATGATGTATACGTATGAAATTTATAAGTATTAATATATATTTGTATTATTCCTCGTAGAGCCTTCCGTACTGTGTACCCCCTTCAACCTCATTAGTGGAAATGTATTTACTGGCCGTAGTTTTGGAAATGAATCTGATACATTATTTAATGCTATGCAACAAATTGACTCGTCGTTTATATACATTCAATATAAACACACGTATTCGATCCAACATATACTTATTATCATACAAAATTATTACCTTTTCTTTTTCTTATTTGTACTCGTTTATATATTATATATCTTTAATGCATATAATGTCATGCCTCTGAATGTGTATTTGTAATTTTCATAATTTACGGTTATTACATTGTCTTAGTTTAACTATTTATTATTGCTATCATAGCCCATACATAATCGTATATAATGATTGACTGAATTATTAAGAAATAAGCAAGACTCAATTACGAATGTGTAATTTTTACACACACACACACACACATACGTACACCCACCCACACGCAAACAAGCAAAACATATGCATGAGGTTGGGCGAGCTAATCTCGAAAAAGACTAATTCGACGTTTTCTTTTCTGCTTTCAGCTGCACAGATTCCACAACGAGGAAGTGAGTACCACGAATTTTCCGACTACGATTGTATGTGTTTCATTTTCTGTTTTATTTGCGAAATATCAATCCTGCACACTCGATTCGTTACATGTTTTTTTTGCTCTTATGATTTTGTCGTTTTTACGTTAAATATTATTTAACCTTTTTAACAGTAATTGTTTATAATTTGTACAAAAATAGAAATAAACAGCGAGCTAGTGAGCATGTGATTTTTATTTTAATTATTATCATTTTCCAATTCTCGCACGACGAGAAGAAAAACAATAAGCACGATGAAAATTAACCGACAACCCTTTCTTTTTTTGTGCACCTGCGCGTGTTGCAGCCTGCAAGAGGAAAGACGAGATGTCGAGTCAGTCCGAGCATCAGCAGCCCGCCCCCAAGAAGCCCCGACTGGTTTTCACAGACCTCCAGCGCCGTACTCTACAGGCTATTTTTAAGGTACGCACACGATAACGTATTTTATATACACAAACGTATACGAAATTCTCGATTATTTTACCATATCGGACCGCCGAAAAACGTGTGCCTACGTCATAGAGAAAGATAATGATAATGACGAAGATAAACGCGCGTATGAAATAAAATACACCTGTTGAGCGCGCGGGGAGGACGAGGAGGGTTTATCTCGACGGCGGAGAGAGCTTTTCGCTCGCGCGCGCGCGTCGATTTTCGGCGATTCGTACACATTTTATATATATATATATATACGAAACCTGTACAGCGGTTGCGACGCGAAAATTGGTAAATATACATTCACGCGCGCGCGCGACGAATAAAGCAAACGATTGTTCGGCTGGAAAAAAAAAGATAAAAGAGAAAAATGTGCCGCGCACGTGTAGTAGTTGTAGTAGTTGTGGTGGTAGTTGTGTAGTAGCGGTGGCGACTATACACGAGTAGTCCACCGAGCGCCACTGCGAATATCGATTTCCTCGGGGCGAAGGGATGAAAAAAAAAAAACAACACAACACATACAGCCGCGCGTCGTGTCATATCTCTCGAGCGGCGGTGCGGTGGTGGCGTCGGCTCGTTGTGTACTACAACACAGCCGACGGACGGACGCTCCGTATTATATACACGGAGAGAGGAACAAAACGTTTGTCCTACTTCTGCAATGTCCACAAACACATACACACACATGTAGTTAGTAGTAGTAGTTAGTAGCTGTATGGAAGCGAGAAGTTCTGTACGATAACCGAGTTCGTTTGCCTTTTTTTTTTGCTGCTGCCGCTGCTGAACACAACGTCACAACAGGAGACGAAGAGGCCGTCGAAGGAGATGCAGGTGACAATCGCCAGGCAGCTGGGCCTGGAGCCGACGACGGTCGGCAACTTCTTCATGAACGCGAGGCGCCGCTCCATGGACAAGTGGAAGGACGAGGAGCCGGCCTCGTCCCAGCAGAGCAAGGGCAGCGTGAGCAGCGTCGACGAGGCCCAGTTGTCGCCGACGATCGGCATCAGCCCGAGGCAGGCGAGCGACGTTTTGTGACATACGTCCGACCAGGAGGAGTATCACGACGACTCCAACGACGAGGATCTGGCCTTCTCTTAAACGAGAGACAAAGGGGCCTGAATCCTCGACGTTTTACGTGCCTCGACTCTTTATCTCTCTCTCTCTTTTTGTATACTCTTCTCTCTTCTTAAAAAGAGCCCTTATTTTTTATTACTATTATCGATATAATGTATAATTAGTCGTAATCATCGAGTCTTGTACTGCAGTTACGTTACCCTGTGCCATGTATGTATTGAGCCCCCCCTCGACGCAGTCGTTGACGTTTTAACCGCTAGTCCATTTGTTCTGTTTTATTTTTTTATTAATTACACATGCAACATCCTAATGTACGTACGCAGAGACTTCTCCAACGAAATCTAGTCGAAATTGATACTACCATTAGATTATTAATTGTTAATTACTCTACTTGCTATCTCATTGTTTATTCCTGTGTTTTATAGCTTTGTAAGAAAAGAGAGAGAGAGTAAAAGAGAAACAGGAAGAAGAAGAGAGAGAAATTAAGAGAGAGAGAAAGAGAGAGAGAGAGGCTTGGATCGTCGGAACCCTCGCTGGTCGCGGTCGCGCATGGATAGCGCGACCAACAAACCTTAATTAAATAAAAAAAAATTAGACCATTATTACGTATATTATAAAAAAGAAAAAAAACTATTACGATGAAACACAAGGTGATAATGCAATATACATGAAACAAAACGTAACATATACGGATTAGTATATGTGTAGGATTTTACAAGAAAACAATTTTAAAAAATTATTATTATTAAAGTAAAAAAAAAAAAAAAAAGAAACCGAATGCCTGCCTGCCTGCGCTGATGTGACGATGTGACGCGATGATATATAAAACGCACGCACTTTATACTCAGCAAACAAATTACACATTGGAGAGAACAAAAAAAAAAGAAAGAGAGAGAAAAAATAATAAACGATTTAAATTTTTAATCTTCGCGAACGAAACTACTTAAACGGGAAATACAAACAAACAAACTAACTAACAAAAAAAAAAAGAGAAAAAAGAGGGAAAAAGTTAACGATCGCCTGGTGGTCGCTGGTGGTCGCGGCAAAAAAAAAAAAAAAAAAGAAACGAGACCATTCGAACTGCCGCCGCCCGCCCTGCGCCGCGCGCACAGGTCGACGAATGTCATATTATAGTACAAAGTAAACATATGCATATAGAGAAATGGGCGTCGGTGATAAACGACGCTCTGACGATATTAAATGATAAAAAATATTACAGAAAGAGAAAAAGGGAATTACATTAAATGAACAAAAAAAATTAAATAAATAAAGAAAGAGGGTTAAAATAAATCGAGTAATAAAAGAAAAAAGACAGAATAAAAATAATTTTTTCGAGCAATGTGTGAGGTGTTGGGTGAGAGAGCGAAAGAGAACTCTTATGTGTGTAGAAAAATTGCGTGTGCGGATTATAATATGTGTCTGTGCGCTGTGCTGTGCTGCTCTTCTTGTGTACGTGTACTACGAGCCCGACGACGACGACCGAGACAATTATTGCGGTGGTGTATATGTATATTTATAATATATTACACATGCACACACGCACACACGCACACACGACGCGCAAAAGTATACCGATGTGCATCAGCGTATTGCAACAAAATGTATGTACGCGTGAAAAGGACGACGTCATCCCTCAAATGCACACCCGCGTATATGTACGTGTGTGTGTGTCCGTGTGCGTGTGTGTATACCTTTTTCGTCTCTGAGAGACCGGAGCGGCGTGTATACGTGTGGGTAGTGTTAATATATGTATAGGCTGCAGCTGCGTGTGCATGTGTGTATTGCGCCTAGTCAAGGAATATCCTCCTCTGTGTCTGCCTGCCTGACGACGACGAACGAACCGAAAACAAAATAAAAATTAACTCACGCGCAATAATAATACCATTTGTTTCGAATTGTTATTATTATTATTAGTACTACTTTTATTGATATTTATTGATAATGTAACATTATGTCAAGGAATTGGCCTCGATTGCCGGCACGCACTCTTGTAAAAAAAAAAAAAAACAAAAACAATTTGTGAAAAATAATCTACGTTGTAATATCTGGATCGCGCAAGTGTGTATTATTGTTGAACGTTGGAGCAATTGTGAAAACTCAAAAGCGGGGTATAAAGAAGTTTCCGAAGGATGATGCGTTCGATCGAGCAAAATAAATAAAAAAAAAAACGACGTGCAATCGCAATATTATGTATAACAAGGAAAAAAGGGATACTAATACTAATCGAGTGCTAGTTTTTTTTCCGAGTCGGTAAGAAGACGGAATTTGTATAATAATAACAAGAACAAAAAATTATAAATAAATGAATAAGTTTTGTGCCGTGGTGAGTCATTGGGTATATATATATTGTACACGTGTTGTACCGTGCACACACACACACACACACGTGTATGCATATATATAATATATAAATAAGCAGAATTATTTATATAAAATATAGATATGATTATATATATGAAAGGAAAATCTATATATATATTATATATATTATATGAAAATATGAGAATGAACGATAAGAAGTAGTTACATATATATTTAAGAAAAATACAAGGACGCGCGGAGAGTATAGTATAGAATTAATAAACAAAACAAAAAACGATGAAAAATTGTATTATAAATACTGTAAATAAATTAGTTACAACAATGAAGATGAATTTCTATTATTGCATTATATGAAATATATTAGAACGCGAGAGGAGAGGGCTCGACCGCGCGAAATCATTAGACTCTTTTTTTTCTACCGTTGAACGAATTTGACCAGATTATCGAACTAGGCTGAAAGAAGAAGCGAGATTATACGTTTATTTCGATTGTTTTCGCGTGATCGCCACGATATCAATAAGCGACCTATATTCTAAGATAACTCGAGGTTTCATTCATTGAAAATCTGTTGGACCTGCGGCAAAGTTACTTAAAAAGCAAAAAAAAAGAATTACGATTACACGAATTATACGGACGAGCGACACGTTTGAATGTATAACGATATATCGACAAACAAATACACGAACCAAAAAACATACAGACACGTACACGTGCACACGATCAATCGTTTTGTCTTATACATATTATAAATAAAAATTTTTGCTTGTTGCTGTATTCGCTTTGAGATTAATTTTCCGTATAAGAGCACCCCGAGTCATGACGTCGTGCATATCTTGAGTGTATCTCCGCATGCTAGGGGTATATATAATGTATAATTGTGCGCAAGCCCGACGAGAGATATTAATTATTTCTGAACCTGTCTTTGTACACATGTGTATTTTTTATAAATTCAGTCGAAGAAGAAAACAAGAACAATACAAGAAAAATAAAACGTAATAAAAATGCATCGTACGAATTGCAATACAGCAGAGAATGAACTAATACAATGACTTTCGTTCACTTTCTCTCGACGATAGTAATGATGATTTTGTAATGAGAGAGAGAATATCAAGTTTTTTGGCACACGATCGATTGAAACAAAAAAGAAAAAATAAATAATGTGAATGATAAGTCGAACAAAGAGTAAAACTTGTAATTGTGATAAAAAAAAAATGAAATAATAGATAATTCAACGTTCATTCGTCAGGGTCATTAATGCGAGTATTTAATAATAGAGAAAGATCCACGCGCGTACAGTAATATACACATATGTAGATCGCCTCCGTTTCGCGTGGGAGGGGGTCGGAGACAGGTACACTTGTATATAATATTATACACCACCGAGTTCGCGAGTATAATATAATATGTACAAAGAGTAAAAACCTAATTTTTCACTTTTTTTTCGTTTTCTTTTTTACTTTTTTTTTTCTTTCGAAATTGTCTGTTATTTATAATACTCCCTGTCGAATCGAAGTGCCTAGCGAAGGAACACTTTTCAACACACGAATAACAAAAACGATAAATAAGCTCACACCTACACTCTGCAATGAAAAGGACAGACAACAAAAAATTCTCAATATACACGCTGATTTATTTATTATTATTTTTTTTTGTTTCCTCAACTACGCACGCCTCCGTTAATTTTTTTTCTATCAGCCAAAAAAAAAATGTGAAACATATCGTTGCGGCTTTTCGGAAAATTTTTCACAATCACCATTACGTATATTAGCGTGCTTCCTCCCCCCCGGCGACGAGCAAGCCCCCCCTATATATTTCAGCCATTCAGAATCTCTATATTTAAAGCGTAATTTTTAATTCGAGAGCTTTATGTAAAAAGAAAAAATAATTAAATTTCGAGGAAAAACATGCGAAATAAACCCGATTGCATAGTTAAACACACACAATAAACTGCGGCGCATATTTAAGAATGTGAAGTATAAAAAAAAAATTATATAGATCACACGACAATAAACGCTACTATATTATATATAAAGAAAAAAGGTAAAATATTATACGAGAAAAAAAATTGCGATGGTATAGCCGATTTGCAGCAGCGAGAAAAAATGAGAGAGAGAGAGCTAGCGCGTGAAAAAAAGAGGGAAGAAATAAGGGAGTTGTATGATATTATACAAAAAGCATACGATAGCAAGTATATAATACATTATATACATACGATTATATATTTATTATACATGTCTCGCCGGTGAAATTGGGATAATCCTGCGGAGTGTGAGAGCGACTGAACGTTATTTAGGCGTGTGTGCCTGTGTGCACACACCGATAGCTTGGATATTATGATTGTAAACTTTTGGATTTTCATTTTTTTTTTTCAAAATTTCGAAGGAGAGGGGTTGTGAACCCCAGCTCGTTACCATCGTAGTTAAAAGGAGGTCAAAAGCGACAAAATTGCGAATATTTTTAGTGTGTTATTGTAGCGAGAGAGAGAGAGAGAATTGTTTTATTGCATGCTAGCATCGAATTGAGAGGAATTGAGAGGATCGTCGAAATTCGAGCGGAATTATTTTGCAAAAAAAAAGTGTGTTTGGGACATGTGGCGCGCACGATTCGATCCTGGCATTCGATGAGACATTATTCAATAAATGAACCTGTGCGTGTGTTTGTGTACCTATGAAATAGATACACATAAAATAACATTGTATAATTATGTCGACGAGATCACGCCCCCCGCGATTTACAATAAATAAATAAGAGTGCGCCTGTCTGTGTGCGTGTGAATGCGTGTGTGCCGAATATACGATGAAAAGTGGAAGCGAACCATTGTAATAAACTACTGTAAACTACGTTTTATTAATGATGTTACTACGGTTTTACGAAAGAGCTTATTATGTAGTCGAAAGAAGAAAAAAAAATCACGAGAACATTAATTCATTGTTTATCCAAAAAAAAAAAAATCAACAACAACAACAACCACACAACCTTCGAAACAAACGATTCGCTTAATGGATAATTAATTCAGTCGACGAGCAAAATCATATATTTGACGGCAAAAATTCACCCCCCGGAAAAAAAAGCAGCAACAGAGAAAAACCCAGAAAAAAATAACGACGGATACTGAGTGTAGCACTTGAATTCTTTACACTTTTGCACGAGACGTGTGTGTTCTGTACTTATATAATGATGAAGAAACAAAAAAAAACTATTTGGATCGATTGATTAAAAAGTCGATGAAAAATATGTAATTATTAAACATTTTATTACTTAGCAATTAAAAACAAAACTGCATTTATTTATGGTTATTTTCAACGATTTATTCCATATCTTGAAGACCGTTGAACGACCCTGATATCCTACGTTTTTTATTTTTTTTAATATGATTTCGAGGATGGATTAAATGGAAATCAAAAGAAAGACAATATTACAGAGTAGAGTGTTTATTAGCAGTCTTGATACGTGAAAATAGCGATTTTGATTATCAAAGTGCTTTACAATATATCACATTTTTTCCCAGAATTTAACATATCCACGCGGTTTTCAACTGGTCAAACATCAAATTACAATAGATAAAAATGCGCGTGCCACACCGATCCAGCGGTAAAAGCTAATGATCTCTTTTTATAATCCGTCTCAATGGTACAGTCATTGAATTCGACAAGTTTTTGACCAGCTCGTACAAAATAGTTAGATTTTTTTTTAAATTTTAAAAACTTATCTCGAGTATCGAAAGCTATCGTACAAAAGGTATACATTAAGAATACAGATCTTACGTTCTTAAGACGAGTCAATTGATCAATTTCGGCAGTAACAATTGACATATATATTCGTTATCTTATTACTATCAGTAATGAGTAAAATCTCTAAAACTACAGTTTAAAAAATGTAGGGAAAAAATCCCAGGACAGTTTTCCGTTTTATACATATAAAAGGTACTCAAAAGTTGAAACTTTGAGGAATGTTTCAATAAACTTTCCTAGGATTCAATCAGTGAAAACGATGTTGCGTAGGGCGTCTTCTTTGAGAGTCTCCAGCACTGCTGTAGTGCCTGCATTAAAATGTATAGCAATTCCACCGTCAATTACTAAACCACCGTCGTAACATTGAGAGCGGATAGTTAACTTTTTGGTAAAGCCGCGAGGAAACGTGTGCTCTGGCGTAGGTTTGGATGGCTTAAGAATCATATCTCGGATCGTGTAACTCAATTGTAGCTCATCTGAAGAGAAAGAGTTGATGTACGTTTTGATTGAATTTTTTATGCAAAAACTATTTTGACGAATCTTACCAGCTGGGAACTGAATTTTTGAATTAAAATCAGAGCAAATTTTTTCAATGTCGGAATTCGTCTGATCTTTTAGTCCAGCCGAAGATAAAACATCTTGAACCACTTGAGGATTCAAACAATTGATTGCTCTATACCAGGAAGTAGAACCGGTACCTGTACTCACACACATCCCAGAACTCTTAACCTTTTGCAATTTTCCACCATTTGCACCTATGTGTAAAATACTTATTCTGGCAGATAAAGATTCTCCAATGAATACCTATGATACAAACATTTATTAGGAGATGAATAATTGAAATATTCTAGTTAATCACTGATTAACTTACTTCATTAAGAGCTAACCAGGGTATTCTTCTTGTTTTGGGGAGTTTGCCTTTTGGAATTGTAGAATTGTGATGACTAATATAGAACCTAGAACAAGTTTATGATTCATTAGGAAACCATGGCTACCACAAAGTCCAATACAGCAAAGATATCAATCATCAAACATACTTTCCCCCTAACGATGAACTTTGATCGTGCATGTGAAATGGAGTTCTCCAAATATTTTCACCTATTAGAGTGGTTCTAACTCTGCTTCTCATGAGATATTCAAAGTTTCCAGATCTCAGTCTTTCAAATATTCCTGGAATATCACTAGAGTGCTTTCTTGACAACAATAAAAAGCCCTCTGAAAATTCCGGATCTGAATTGATTCCTATGATAGGTTTGGAGTTACTGTTCATCAAGTTTGATGCCATCAGAAATGTTCCATCCCCGCCAACAGGTATCACTAAATCTGCCCAATTTATACTGTCAATGTCCACATTGTATCTGCAAAGACAAACCATTAAAAACTAGAACAATGCCAATTAATTAATGCACATGCAGAGATAGTACTCACCGACTCTTGACTCTAAAGTCAATATTTAAACTCTTCAGAGTATCTATGGTTTTCTTAGCAGTAGCTTCATTCCTATTGTGTCCACCAAGAATGGCATCAAAATTAATATCCCTCTCGATTAGTTTCCTCTTCAGCTCCTCCTCCGACAGATTGGGATTGTGTAGCTTTTCTATCATGTATCTGGAGACCTTGGTGAGCACCAGAACCCTCTGGGGCACGAAGCTGGCCTCGCAGCGCCTCGTCGACTCGAGATTGATTCGGCTCGACTTGAACATCAATCGGGCCGCTGCTGAAAGCGGTCGAATTATCATCGTTTACAGGCCTGTCACGTCGGTGTTTTTTTTTTTTTTGCAGGACAATAACGCAAGATTCAAAAACTCACGGTAAGCTGTAGCTTTGGAGAGATGAGCGAGAGCCGTCATCCTTGTATGCTTGTATTTTTGTTGTTATTGACGCTGTGTGCCTCACATGTCAAAAGTAGTACCTCGACTGCGGTATCTCGTGGTTACTACACAAAATACCTCGTGTGTGTCATCTAATAAGCATGGAGCACAGCAGCTGCTACACACGAGACGTCGCAATCGCGGAGGCCGGAGTGGGCGTAAAAAACCGGCCGCGCTGCCCGACGCGAGGCGACATCTAGCCATGATCAGAGTAGAAATGATAGTCCGCGCGGCTAAAAGCAGCAGCGCGCCGAGCGACCGCCGTAGGTATATAGATAGCACGATACACGCCGAGATGCAGGAAATCTCTCGCAGCGATGCAGCGTAACAGGCAATTTTCGATCGCGCGGCACGGAGTGCAGGTGAGAAGAGCGTCGTGGCGCCACCAGTGCACGAAAAAAGTCGAGATAACCGTGTGCGATATAGATAGAGAAACCAAGAGAGTAGATGCATCGGCAGCGGTTGATAACGTTAGGATGAGCTACATATACACGACGACGACGACGACAATGAATCAAAAAGTCAAAATGGTCAGTTGGATGATAGGTCGTATGGGATAAGATCGGAGCAAGAGGCTCAGAAGCCGCGCACGATCCTTTGTCATTAAATCAGGCGGGTCATAGCTTGGCGGAGTTGAAAAACCTTCGCGAGGTGTCTCTTTCTCCTCCGCACGCACCTATATACAAAAGATTTGCCTCTCTCGAGATACGACGTATTATATGAGAGAGAGAGAGTCACCTCTTTATAAACTGCATACACGCTCACACGCACGCAAACTTAAATAGGCATATGCTCTCCGAAGTGGCAGATCGCAGCAGCAGCAGCAGCGGTGCAGTGCGTGAGGCCGTGGCATGCATGCAGTCGAGCGAGACTCGAGAGTCGGTTGAGGAGTAGTATAGGCTGCACGAGTTGCATTTGAGTTAGTTGATTCAAGCAATCGTCCGCGACTCGTGCGCGAGACATCGTTTAAATAAAATAATTTGTACATATGTACAGAGACAATCGCGTGGCGCGTGTGACAATTTCGCATAAACGACCAAAACAAACGAACGAGCGAACTTTGTTACAAAGAGTGTCTGCCAAACGACTGGCAGCGAGCGCGTGAGAGAGATGCGAGAAGGCTTATAATTAAGCAGCGCAGCGGTCAGCGAGCGACAGCGTCGAGATTGCTATGCAATAATAATACAATTCGTCGTTGCATCGAGTGCAACGGCGTCGCGAGTACACAGCCAATATCGTAGTGTGCATATATACGACGCACATTATATATAGAGACAGAGAGCCGTGTGCATGCAGTAACACAGGGCACAACACACGAGCGTCGAGCCCGTTGGTGTAGTTCTGCACACACACACACAGCAGTGAGAGAGAGAAGTACCTACACGCTTTTATCGATCCTCTCGTCGTCGTCGTCGTCGTACCTATACTCGCGCGAGTTTAGCACAGAGAGAGAGAGAGAGCATCACCGCACAGCAAAGCCAGAGCAATCGCGTAATAATGCGCGATGGTATATAGCAGCGTACACGCGCGTTTATTATTATATATAATAATATAAGAGAAGAGGAGTAAGAAGAAATGTCGCTGACGCGCCGCCGCCGCCACCACCACCACTACTACTCGGCCACTGTATAATAATACTTATATACGTAAAAAACGCGATCGCAGCGAGCCGAGAAAGCAGAGAGAGCTACAAAGCAACAAGGAGAGAATATATATGTGTACGAGGACGACGATCGCCTGTGCCTCGCAGGACTATAATATAGCAGAGAAGCAGCAGCAGTACAGTACAGTAGTAGTATTGTAGCAGCAGCAGCAGCGGCACGAGTTACCTATATACGCAAGGATTGTTATTGTTTTCGTGGTTGTTATTGCAGTTATAGTGCATGCGCGCGCGTGCGTGTGTTCGAGCTACGGACCGCGTGCGCTTCTACGTAATTTTGCACGTTGTTGTTGGTGCGCGATAAGAGGCAGCTCTGCTCCAAAAAAAAAACTCGCGGAGACACACGGTCGAATATCGCTGAATAAGAGGGAATTCCTCGTGCCGTCGTGTGCTGCGTGCATCATCATCAACAACGTCGTCGTGCAGTGCAAGTGTGTACATAATAAGCGCGAGGCTATAATATACGTGCAGCGCATGCATCGCTCTCTGCTCTGCTCTCGATGTAGTTGCTGTGCGTTATAAGCCTCGTCGTCGTTGCAGCGAGCTCTGGTGCTGCTGCATGCGATGCGCCGCTGCCGCGCGTGTATTATATGCGTGCGCGATGATGATCGCGAGTGTGCGTAATTCTTCTTCTCTCTCGCTCTCTTGGATATAGTAGCTGTGTCGGATCTCTTTGCTGACTCGCGCCAGTGTGTGTACGTGTGTGCGAATACACACACCAACACCGTACGAGAGCAAGTCGTGCGATATATATGCTTATAGGCCTATACGCTACTCTCAACCTAATTGTCATAGCGCAGCAGCAACAGCAGCAAAAGCAGCAGCGGAGAGCGTCAAGCGCGAAGGCAGTATACATCTATAGTTGTGTGTGTATGTGTGCGCCTATATAGTTATAAGCGCGCGCTTATACACGGGCTCTCTTTATATAGTACTATATATGTTTGTGCATCTGCTGTGCTCGCTGCGGCGGCGGCTCGTGGTGCGTTCGGCAGCAGTCAGCCAGCAGCATTAGTCAGAGTAGTATAAAAGAGTCGGTTCGCGCGAGCGCGCGACAACGCCGCAGCGATATATTGTTTGTCATATACTTTTTCAATCAAAAAAATCGTAACAGCCTCTAATCGTGCGTATATACAGATATAAAAAGTGTCATCGTTCGAATGTGCTCTCGATGAGTGTGTGCGTGCGTGTGCGTGTTGTTTGTTTGTTGTTGTTGTTGTTATACCCGTGTCAGTGAAAATAGCCCACAAGCAACGCGACAAAAGGTGTAAACTTAGGTGCTGATAGCGTCGTTCAAATGTTCCGCGATTGAAGAGAACCGCGTATAACGACACCTCAAAATATACAGAGAGAGAGAGAGAGAGGAAGGAAGGAAGAAACAAAAAAGTACGTGAAAAGTCGTTGTCTCTTCTCGTCGGCAAACTTGCGCTCAGAGAGAAAGAGTGTAAAGTCGCAGCATCAGAGCAACTCTCCCAGACAGAGAGACAGACGCAGCAGCAGCATCAGCACGCGCTTGTCTTTACTATCAAGGATTCTGAGAAAAAAAATCACGCAGTCCAGTGCGTTGGTGCGGCAGTAGTAGTAGTAGTAGTCAAGTCACCATCAATCAGTGCATGCGTGTGCGTTGCGATACGCATATAGACAAGCACAGCCGTCGTAGTTCGTCGTCGTCGTCGTCGTTGCGGATATATACAACACGGAGGCATACATATAACACAGAAATACGGCGGAGACGAACTCGGATATACATATATCGAGGTAAGAGAGCTTTATACACGTTACATATACATATATTCTTGACAATTCTATAGATAGATCCGTATATACCGTGTGTGAGTGTGTGTTTGCCGAGCCGTGGCGTAGATATTGCGAGCAGCAGCAGCAGCAGCTCTCGCATATTATATACGCACATTTTATATATAATACGCATACGTCGACTTTAAGCGGTGGTGTCGGACAGAGAGAGAGAGAGAGAGAGCGACGTGTTGTGCTCTGCGCGACTTGCGACGCGAGGCAATTTTTCCGCACATTATAAAATAATATATATCTAACGCGGCTCTCTCTCTCTGACAAAGCACGACGCGACTCGTGGCCCCAACTGCACTAGGTTACACACTGCGCGTATTTTGTAGCCGCGAGTATATATGACACAAAAGAGGATAGGTATTTTAGCCGATCTGCAATCGTTGTTGTTCCTTCGCGTGTATACATATCATCGTGGACGACGTTGATTAACATCTCGCGGGTGCACGCGCGATTTTCTGCGGAGACTTTTTCTCCAGAGAGAGAGTCCGAAAGAAAGAGGATGCGCGAATGCTGCTGCTTCAATGCTACATCGTTGCGAAGCCGAGTGAACGTAATATAGGTATACATAATGCACGTATAGAGAGAGAGAGAGAGCGTAGGTATGTGTAATATAGGTATAGCGAACGGCCAAGGAACCGCTATAGGTATAATACCGAGCGTAAACCTTTATACACACGCTCGTCGGGCAGAGAGTCGCGGCGCGCACCAGCGGGCCAAAAAAGAGAGCCAGCAGCAGCGAATACAGCGATATTACAGCACACAGCGAGGCGCAGAGCGAGAGAGAGAGAGCACACGTATATATATAGGTACACACACACACACACTCGCACATTCGTATATTTCTCGTCGAGCTCGAGTGAGACTTGCGTGCAGCAGCAGCAACAACACTGTATATAGGCTTTATATACACGTACGATACGATACGTACGTGTGTGCTGTTTTGCCGCTGCTGGTACGTGCGAGCCGCCGTTACTGCCACGGCTGTTCGTATAATACGCGTTCGTATAACGCGCAGGCACTGGGCTTCTTTGTTTTCACCCAGTGCTGTGTGCAGCACACCACGCACACTCCTGCTGCTGCAACTCTCTTCTCGAGCTCGCGACTGTCGTTGTTGTTGTCGTTGTTGTTGTTGTTGCTCTAGACCTGCGCTTCTCTCGGAAAGCAGCGCGCATATCGAGAAAAACGGAGAACACTGTATATAACATTACACGGGGGATGAAGCGTGTCGTAATTTGAATTTGCCTCGTGCTACAGCCGCTGCCATTATTGTTGTTTACGATTAGCTGTCAAAATATATACAGCCGCGTGCGCGACGCTCTATCATCGCGAGAAGCGGGGGGCTATCCTATGTATAGCGAGCGATAATAAGCGAACGCGTTTAGCGCGACGACAGCTACGACGCCGATCTCGCCAATACACGCGCGCTTACCGAGATAATGAGACACATTTGTGTCGAAGGAGCTCGCGCGCGCGCATACAGACATCCGCTGCTGCTGCTGCTGATGCTCTTGAGGATAATTGTCATTGCGATGGATCGACGGTCGAATATTATGCCGTTGTGTCTTTTCTTATATCGTCGAGATTCTTATATGTAAGCGGCGTAACAGAGAAAAGCAGAAAGCCGAGTGCAGTGTGCACGCGAAATATCGAGCTACCTATACCGAAGCGCATCCGACGAAGCAGCAGCAGCAGCAGCAGCTCTCTTATGTACGTGTGCAGTTTCTGCTCCGAACTCACGAGGAGGAAGAGGAGACGAGTAGAGCAGAGTAGAGAGAGAGAGAGAGAGAGAACGAGCTGCGAGAGCCAAATAAAAGGAGTCTCATTATAAATATACGAGAGAGAGAAGAGCAGAGCAGAGCAAAGCAAAGCAAGGCAAAGCAAGAGATGAGCACACATACAGACTCAGACACAGGCCGCCGCCGCCGCGTGCGCGCCCGATCTCCGCAACGAAGGTATATGTATGTACGAGAGCAGCAGCAGCAGCAGCGAGGCTTTATACGTATATATGTGTGTGTGTGTAGCCGGCTGCGTGTCTGTCTTCTTTATATATACATACACACATATACACACATTTGCGCGCACTGCCGCTGCTGCTAGGCCATGGAAAAAGGGGCGCGGAGGAGCAGAGCGAGAACGAACGAACGAACGAACGGAGCGAACGAATGGGAAGGTGAACGCGGAGAAAGAGAAAGAGAGAAAAATGCAAAAACGAGAGGGGTAGTATATAACGCGCGCGTGGCTGTGTGTTAGCCTCCTCGAAGCTTTACGACAACGACGACGACGACGAACGACGAACGACTCGTGCGCGCCTGAGCGCAATGACTGCGCTCCGACGCTTTTCCTTTTTCACTCTCTGTCTCTGTCTCTCGTTTTAGGCATTTTCATTACGTATACAGGCATGCGTTTTGCAGCGCACAATGATTATCAAAGTGTGTCAAAGACGTTATCGACGAATTTGTAAAAATCTCGTAATAACGTCGCTATTATATCCTTTCTTGATAGAGAAGAGGGTAATAATAACATAATTTTATCGCACGAATCCGGAGCGCGTGTATAAACGAGCTTAACGTAAAAAAGCGTCAAAAGCCGCCCCCACGTGCGTGCGTGCCGTATACCGTGTGCTCGATGTAACTCGCGAGTTAATATTCGCACAAGTGCACACTTGGCATTTCACTCTGTGTCGATCTCGAAATTGCTGCGAGCCGCCGCCGACGACTACTGCACTTGTAAGGTCCTGCTAATCAGTATCGATACTCGCTCTATACCCAATGTATATAGAATCGGTATAGTATAAGGCTTAGTCTCGTCGGTCGGTGACATTGGAGGCCCCTCCTGTGTCTTTTCCTCCCTCCCTCCCTCCTTGCCTGTGGCTGGCTGACTGGCTGCGCGACGAGTCTCGCTCGTTCGCGTCTCATTGTCAAAATATCTGCCGTCCTCCGTGTCCTTCTATATAATATAATGCGTGTCTCTCCTGCGCTCGGGTCTTAAAAAACTGACCGACTCGTCTCGTCTCGTCTCTCGACATCAAATTCGTATACACATATGAATGTAACTCAAACTCGAGCCAATGGACCATTTCGACTCCGATCGCGTTACTCTCGTGATTACGAGCAATACATCCTCCATAAGATTATTAAAGGTGCTCTCGTGGGCAGAGGCTGAGACTGCAGGTACACGCATAACGTAACGACAGAGTCAGGCTCTTTCTTCTTTCTTTCTCTCTCTCTCTCTCACTTTTGCAGGTTCTGCTGTGTGTGAGCGTTATGTGCTGCGCTGTGCGAATTGTGATCGTGCAGCAGCGACGCGGCAGCAGCCTCCCCTCCCCCCCGCCGCCGCCTCGCTCGGTTCCTCCGCAATCCACCACCGCGCGCCGCCGCCGCCGCCATCAGCAGCAGCGCCGCTTGTGCGCGCACAGTTTTCACACACACACACACACACAGACACACTCCTATAACCCATGGCTCGATGCGATTCTCTGCAGCAGAGTCGGAAGCGCAAGAAAGAGAATAGGTTTTGCGCCGCGCTTTCTTTTTTTTTTGTTGTCTTCTGTATGGATAGGTAAGGCCGAGCGTGTGTCGCGACGGCGGTGCTGCTGCGCAACAAACGCGTTAATGCCGCGCAGATACGCTCCGAGGCAATATTGTTATGAGCCCTGTGTATGCGCCTTTTAATCGGGCGTGCAATGTCAATTGTCATTGTCGCGAGAGAATGTCTATACAGGTACACGCTTTCGCAAACCATCGAGTGTCGCACGACAGGCGCACATATAATAAAGTTAATGGATACATATAGAATATCTCTCGCTCCGAAAATCATCAGATTTTCAAGCCGCATCTGGCGCCGCGATCAGCAGCGACTCATTCGCGCCTCCGACTGCGTGCTGCACTCCGTATTATATCCGCGCAATGGTCGCCGCTATACCTCTACTCCTGATGCAGGGGGGATTGAGGTTAAGTCGCGGAGCCGCCGACTAACGCGCACGCAACACACTGGCTGATTTTTGCCTATATACATTGCGCTCGAGTCCTGCTGTCATGCAAAAGTCGCGTGTGGACTAGGATGAATGACGATGATACCCGCGGCCAGGTGTAGCAGCTTCGCTGCAGTTCTCCGCTGAAGCTGCATTAAGAAGCTGCTGCTCCTCTTTTCCCGTATAGTGCGTGCGTGCAGCAGAGAAGAGCCTCGACGGCAGCGGCAGTGCATCGTCGTTGCTACGCTGCGGCGCGGCTCTCTCTCTCTCTCTCTCTTATACCTACGTATATAATAGTAGCAGCAGCAGCAGCGGAGGCAGCAACGGCGGCGGCGGCGGCAGCAGCAGCAGATATCGAGCGCGTTTACGAGCCCCCCTTCTTCTTCTGCTTCTTCGGTTCGCGTACAGCGTGCTATATATTCGCTCTCTGGCCTCTGTGTACGTGTGTACGTGTGTGTGTACGCGAGCGAGTGTGTGTCGTCGTCGTCGACTCGAGTCTCGCTCTCGCTCGCTCTCTCGCATTAGTCGCCCCGTAGTGCTTATACGAGCCGAGTGTGTGTATAATACGAAGTACACAGTGCCGTGTGTGCGCGCTGGACATTACGGTGCTTTATACAGGCTTTCTCTCTCTCGCTCGCACACACATACATATACTTACTCGATCGTATAGTAGTAGTCATCGTCTCGGTGCCGCGCCGAGAGCTCGCGCGTCCTGCTTATATATTTTTGCGTATGAAATACTACAATCGCGATCGTGTGTGTCTAGTATTTAATTGAAGCTCGAAGCAGTAACACAACAGCAGCAGCAGAAAGAGTCGTGCCTGGCCAAGTGTCATTGCGTGCATTTGTGCGTCGTCTCTCTCTCTGCCTGCCTGACTGCAGTCCGTGTCTCTCTCTCTCTCTCTACCTCGGTTGTGCTGTGTTGCATGTGTGCAGTGCTGCATATTTGCTCGAAAGCAGCAGCTATACGACGACGACAGTG